CCCAAAGGATTGATAACCCCGCCTAAAAGACTGATAGCCCCGCCCTAGATGACTGTTAGCTCCACCCCAAATGGCTGATATCTCTGCTCAAAAGAACTGATAGATCCACCCCAAATGACCGATAACCCTGCCCCAAAAGACTGATAGCCCCACTCTAGATGACTGTTAGCCCCATAACAAATGACTGATAACCCTGCCCCAAAAACTAATAACTTTACCCTAAATGACTGATAGCCTTAACAAAATGACTGATATCGCCAGCCCAAATGACCGATAGCCCCACCCCAAATGACTGATATCTCCGCCCTAAAGGGCTGATACGTCCACCCCAAAGGACTGATAACCCCGCCCCAAAAGACTGATATCTCCGCCCTAAATAACTGATAGATCCACCACCAAAGGACCGATAGCGCAACCCCAGATGACTGATAGCTCCGCCCTAGATGACTGTAAGCTCCACCCCAAACGACTCATAGCCCCACCCCAAATTACTTATAGGTCGTTTTAAGGGGGGAAAAATGTTATGCTGAAGGAAAGTGCAGACAGTGAGTGTTATAGTGATCTCACCACTGGGTGAACAGGATGCTCCTCCATCGTGAGGGTCTGTCCACTTCCTCTGCGGCTGCCGTGACCCTGCGGCTGAGGAAAACACAACACTTTTAGAGTGTCACTATTAAAAAGTTTAAGGTCAGTATTTTTTTATTTTATCATTAATTGAATATATTTGAATATCGTAAAACACAACATAAGAGATGCTGATGGGGACCAAAAAATGTCCCCTTGAGGAAAAGAGCTCATACATCCTACAGAATGAAGCACTTTGAAGATGAAACTGCAGATTGTTTGCTGTGAGTGTTGGTTTAGGAGTGGGATTGGGGAAGGGGTGTGGAATATACAGTATGTACGGTATTAAAATCATTACGTCTATTGGAAGTCCCCATAAAGATATTTGTACAACTATGTGTGTGTGTGTGGACTGACCGTGAGGGACGTGCGTCTGTCGTTTGTGGCCTGCAGTCTGTTGAACTCCTCACAGAAAGTGCTGATCTCCATCGGGGAGTGTGGCGGCGGCGGCGAGCGCTCACTGAGGCTGCTGTACAGCGTCGACTCATCTGCTGTTATGATCTCCCAGCTCTACAACACACACACACACACACAGATGTCAAAAAGTGTCTTTGCAGTGTGTGACTGCGAGTGTGTGAGAGTGTTTGTGTGAATGTTAGCACGAATGTGTATGTGTGTGTTCTGGTTTTGGTGGTTTACAAGGACATAAATGTGTATAATGGCATGCCTATGATCTAGTTGTTCTCTATTACAGTGGTTTATGAGGACAGGTCTTGTGTCCTCGCAATTCAAAACACTTAAATTCATACTTAACAGGTTTTGTTTCACATTTAAAGGGCCCCATGTTTTCTGTGAGGGTTAAGTTTAGGGGTAGCGGTGCGGTAAAGTCATATAACAAGCGTTTACTGTATACAATACATTTCGCCTATGAAGAGTCCTCATAAACTACCAATGTCAAGTCACAGTTTATAAGGACTCTTCATAGGCTTCACAGTGTTTGCATATGTGTTTGTCGGTGTGAGAGAGAGTGTGTGCATGTCTGTGTGTGTGTATGCTTGTGCACGTGTGTGTGTACATTTTTTTAAATCTCAGTGGGGACTTAAACCTGAATGCACACTGACTCATGGGGACTTCTGTCACCATGGAGACCTACATTAAAATCCCCATGGCTCCGCATGCTTATAAAGCACACAGAATGGTGTATTTTCAATATGTTAATACGCAGATTGTTTCCTGTGAGGGTTGTTTTAGGGGGGACGGAATATAAAGTATGAACAGTAGAAACATCCTTAAAGCTCTGGAGAGATCCCATCAGGATAGCTTGTGTGTGTGTGTGTGTGTGTACCTCAGGTGACTCTCTGCGCTCGTGGTTCTCCTCATGTTCTGATATTTGTCTGCGTGTGAGAAAGGCCCGCTGGGACTCGCTGTGTGTTTCCTGTCTCTGCTCATTGTCTCTTTGACTGTCCCTGTAAATCAGGACAAAACACACACACACACACACACACACACACACACGAGCACTCAGAATGGCCCAGAAAGGCTGAAATGAATCAGGTGAGGGTGCCGCTGACCACCAGAGAGAAGAAGAGTATATGGAATAATTATAGAGTTACTACTATTACTAATAATTGTTACTAATAGTTATTATTATACTATTACTAATTATATTATTAGTAGTACAGTAATAGTTTTCTTTGGAGTAATGACCTACTGATTAATTATTTATTAGTTACAAATTACAATTTGAAGATTGATTTTGTGAATTTTAAATTTAAAAAAAATGAATGTCACATTATGAAAACTCCAGGCCTTTTTGGAATTGTGCAGATGAAGACTTTTTAAACTATAGAAATAAAAAGAATAAAATAAGATAAAACTTAAATAAATGTAATTGAAATAAACTAATTGTTAGATAAATAAAATAAAAAAATAATACAAATCTGTACTGATCAAAATAATAATAATAATAATAATAATAACAACAGTAATAATAATAAACATAATAATAATAATAATAGAAATAATATTAATAATAATAATAGTAATAATAATAATATTAATAGTCATAAAATAATAATAGTAAAAATAATAAGGATAATAATAGAAATAATAATAATGATAATAATAATAGTAAGAATAACAATAATAATAATAGTAATAATAATAATAATAATAGTAATAATAATGATGATGATGATAATAATAATAATAATAATAGTAATAATAATAAAGATAATAATAGAAATAACAATAATAATAGTAATAATAACAATAATAGTAATAATAGTAATGATAATAATAGTAATAATATTAATAATAGTAATAGTAATAATAATAATAATAATAGTAATAATAACAATAATAGTAATAATAGTAATGATAATAATAGTAATAATAATATTATTAATAGTAATAATAATAATAATAATAATAATAATAGTAATAATAATTATGATAATAATAGTAATAATAATAATGATAATAATAGTAATAATAATAATAATAATAACAACAGTAATAATAATAATGATAATAATAGTAATAATAATATTAATAATAATAATAGTAATAATAATAATAATAATAATAATGACAATGTAATATGGCTTCAACATTCAACATAATAACTGCAACATTCATAGTTTTTATAAAAACAAATATAAAAATATCTTAAAAACATATATATTTTTAATTGCTTGTATAATATATACAAAGTAGAAAACTTTTTTTTATTAAAAAAAAATAATAAACATAAAAAAAATAAGCGAAGCACATAATAAACCTCTTTAACAAAAACAAAACAACACTAATAAAATAATCTTAATAATAATAAAATTAATAGTCAGCACTGTCGCCACACAGCAAGAAGGTCGCTGGTTCGAGCCTCGGCTGGATCAGTTGGCGTTTCTGTGTAGAGTTTGCATGTTCTCCCCATGTTGGCGTGGGTTTCTTCCGGGTGCTCTGTTTTCCCCCACAGTCCAAACACATGCGCTATAGGGGAATTGGGTAAACTAAATTGGCCGTAGCGTGTGTGAATGACTGTGCATGGGTGTTTCCCAGTAATGGGTTGCAGCTGGAAGGACATCAGTTGTGTAAAACATATGCTGGATAAGTTGGCAGTACATTCTGCTGTGGCGACCCCTGATTAATAAAGGGACTAAACCGAAAATAAAATGAATGAATGAATTATAAAATCAAATAAAATTAAAAGTAAAAACACAATTTTAAATGATCTTGTATAATATATGTAGAGTAGAAGGAAAATAAAGCAGAAAAATAAAAAAATATATATTATTATTCATTCGTTCATTCATTCATTCATTTTCCTTCAGCTTAGTCGCTTATTTATTGGAGGTTGCCACAGCGGAATGAACCGCCAACTATTACAGCATATGTTTTACGCAGTGGATCCCCTTCCAATACACACACATTCACACACACACTCATACACTACTGCCAATTTAGTTAATCAATTCCCCTATAGCGCATGTGTTTGGACTGTGGGGGAAACCGGAGCACCCAGAGGAAAACGCCACGCCAACATGGGGAGAACATGCAAACTCCACACAGAAATGCCAGCTGACCCAGCCGGGACTCGAACCAGCGACCTTCTAGCTGTGAGGCCACAGTGCTAACCACTGAGCCACCATAAGTTATTATATTAATCTAAACAAAATATAATAATCAAGCAGGCCAAAAACACTAGCAACACTAAGGTCATGGCCGGGAGTCATTTTGAATAACAACATACACCCAAAGAATAAACTGAGAGCATAAATATAAATATCTACATAGCGTACTAGTCTTGTGCATGGTATTTAAACACGACCCCTGGGCTTGTGTACACATGTTCATGCTGTGTGTTTGGTTAAAGCGGGTGATAATTACTGGATGGTGGGTCTGTGCCACTGTGTGGTCCTGCTCTCGTGGTTGACGTAGTAAGTTCGTCCCAGGTTGTCCTGCCTCTCCTCCCAGCCAGGGGGCAGCGCAGGCAGCTGATGCGGATGATGAGGACTGCATAATTCATGAGGCTCCAAAAACTCCCAACCCGGCTACGACACAGAAACAAGCAGGATATTACTTACAAGTATTGCTTACTACTCATAAAAGCAATTCTATGGGAAAATCCTGTGTTACAGCGGGGGAAATGAGTATTGAACACGTCACCATTTTTCTCAGAAAACAGATTTCTTTTTTTTTTTTCTTTTTTTTTGGCCTTTTAGCCTTTATTAGATAGGACAGTATTGAGACAGGAAGCGAAGTTGGAGAGAGAAAGGGGGTAGGGAAATGTCCTCGAGCCAGGATTCGAACTTGCAACACCCTGACGTGCTATTGCACCATATGTCGGCGCGCTAACCACTAGGCTATTGCACCGACAGAAAACCGATTTCTAAAGGTGCCGTTGACACCAGATGTTGGTAACAACCAAAGAAATCCATACATGCAGAGAAAATAAATCTAGTTAGTTTACAAATGAAGATATGTGTAATAAAGTGAAATAACACAGGGAAAAAGTATTGAACACATGAAGAAAGGAAGGTGTAGTTCAGCAGTGAAAGCCCAGACAGCAGCTGAGAGCAGGTGGATGAAGATGAACCCAGGGTGGACATTTCAGCAAGACAATGATCCAAAACACAGCCAGGGAGACTCTGAGATGCTTTCAGAGAAGGTAAATCAAGCTGTAGAATGGCCTAGCCAATCCCCTGACTCGAATGCAATAGAAAATTATTACTAATTATTAAGCTTATTATTAAACTATTCCATATATCATCATTTTCATTCTATGGCACCTTTAAAGGTTCAGGACACCCTGGAGAACTTTTTTTTATATTAACAGATGTGTGTGTGTTGAGCATCAGTAAAGACAATGTTAGCATCTGTCAGCTTTAATTGGGAGGAAAACTGGATAATTTTGAGCTTTTGTTCAGCTTCCGGGTTTAAAATGATTTTTGGGGCGGGATCAAAATCGTCAACGTAGTGCAGAACTGCAAGTGCAATGATGACGCGTCGGTTTCTCATTATTATTCAAAGCGGAGTTTTCTTATCCTATGAGAAGAGCCGGCTGCTTAATTATTCATGAGAGCACGTGCTTTCCGAAGGCAGACCTGCCAGTTTCAAGCAAGCTGTGAGACACAGACCAACGGGACGCAGTAACCGTTCATGTTTGTTTCCATGATCCACGGGGTTTGTTGCATGTTTTTTCCCCGCAATCCTGTCAGAGCCGATCATACAGCAGAGCTGTGTGTGTACTGCAAGCATTTTTGTCGGGAGAGCAGCACGAGAATTGAAGAATGGCGGACGTTGTCTTGTATCAGGAGTTCGTTCACATTCAGACACATCACCCTGCTGCTGTGTTTGCCTAAATCCTCCAGATTACCAGCAGGGCTAATGGTTAAAATAGACAGGCAGGAGACCTGCTGCACTAAGTCTGCATTCAGATCTATAATTTAGACCCGGGGATCGAGGGAGAATCCTCATTTATAGTGTTTACATGAACACGATTATCTTTATAATGATATAAATTCTGGTTATGTGTATATGGAATTACGAATAACAAATGTAGCAGGGCATTAAATTACTGTTTATTTCTTTGCATTTTAACTTTGTGAATTATAAACTCATGCGTCTCCTCACGGTTTGTGTCTCATTTTGTGAGCCGACTGTCAACAGCAGTTGTTCGCTCCCCTTCTCCCCTGCTGGCCACGCCCACTCCTGCCCTGTGCTCGCGGAGTTCCACGCCCATCATCATGCATCTTCTGAACAAATTCTGAAGTAGACTTTAACCGAAAGTGGGGGTGTCATGGCCCTTTAAGCTGAGTTTATTTGACTGTCAGCAGCACTTCTGAGTGATTTCTGGACGTCTGTGTTGCTCTGTGAACACACCCAGCACCAGCATCAACACAGCCCTGGTACAATGAGAGCGGGCTGGAAAAGTACACAGTGACTCTGCAGGTTCTATATTAAAGTTCTTGTGCATAAATAGAAGTCATCTGTTTATGCACAAACAAATGGTATTAGATTGCTGAAGGCTTTGTTTCTTTGGTTTGATGTCAAATGACATGCTACGCCAGTTTACAAAAGGCCCAGGCAAGGGTCAGGAGTGAATGTAGACTGTCATGTGTACAAGTCACTGGAAGTCTCAAGTGGTTGCCAGGGCTTTGATATACAGATGAATGAAAAATAAAATGTGTAAATGTGGCAAATGTGTGGCATACTAGTATTTACATAACATTGGCTTTTTGCTCACTAAAACAAAATCTTATTCATATCTTATCTTAATCTTAAATATTTAAAAGTCAGTATTGCTTTTTAAAGCTATTTTAAGGTACTTTTAAATGACAGTATTGCTTTTTAAATGTATTTTAGCTATTTTTAAGCTAATTCTTAATGTCAGTATTGCTTTTTAAATGTATTTTAGGTGTTATTAAGGTACTTTTTAATGTCAGTATTGCTTTTTAAGGTGTTTTTAGGTATTCTAAGGTACTTTTAAATAAGGTTCTTTTAAGTGCCAGTATTGCTTTTATAATGTATTTTAGATATTTTAAGGTACTTTTAAACGACAGTATTGATTTTTAAGGTGTTTTTAGGTGTTTTAAGGTACTTTTAAATGTCAGTATTGCTTTTTTATGGGGCAGTCAAAATTAGCGCGTTAACGCACTTGATTAATTTTAAATATTTAACACGTTAAAAAAATAACACAAAAAATGCAGTTGCAGTTTAATATGTATTTTAGGTATTTTTAAGGTACTTCTTAATGTCAGTATTGCTTTTTAAATGTACTTTAGGTATTTTTAAGGTACTTCTTAATGTCAGTATTGCTTTTCTAAGGTGTGTTTAGGTATTTTAAGGTAATTTTAAATGTCAGTACAGCTTTTAATGTATTTTAGGTATTTTTAAGATACTTTTAAATGTCAGTATTGCTTTTTAAGGTGTGTTTAGGTATTTTAAGGTAATTTTAAATGTCAGTATTGTTTTTTAAATGTATTTTACTTATTTTAAGGTACTTTTAAGTGTCAGTATTGCTTTTATAACTTATTTTAGATATTTTTAAGGTACTTTAAAATGTCAGTAATGCTTTTTAAATGTATTTTAGGTATTTTTAAGGTACTTCTTAATGTCAGTATTGTTTTTTAAATGTATTTTAGGTATTTTTAAGGTACTTCTTAATGTCAGAAATGCTTTTTAATATATTTTAAGGTACTTTTAAATGTCAGTATTACTTTTTAAAGATTTTTTAGGTATTTTTAAGGTACTTTTAAATGAAGATTGTTGGTGTGTGCATGAATCTTACATCCAGATTCTCGCCCTGTTCAGCGGGGTCGTCCTCTGCATCGCTGTTTTTAGGCAGGTACGTCATCTTTAGACGCAGATGACCTTTCACCCTCGACTTGTGACTGTATCAAAACACATGAGAAGATACATCAACAAAACACCTACAGCAATCTACCAGAAAAACACACTGTTTTAAACATAAAACGCCACCGAAGTGTATCGACAGTGTTGACATGTACATGTTTCAAATGACAACATTACACAGAAAAAAAAAATGCAGGTCAAAAGGCTCATCACAAATGAGAACGAATGAGAGAGTCAGTGAACGTTAAAAACCATCATGTTTGGGGAATGAAGCATGCAGGTAAGCAGCTGGTAAAAACTGCAGTGGAAGCTTCTGCTAACCTTCTCGGGTGCAATAAGAAGTCTTTGAAAGTGTACGGCCTTTCATTGTTTGGATGTTCTGTCTGCAGGTAAAAAAAGAACGGAAAGTGCTGTCAAAATATTTGGCACAGAATAAAAATAAAATAAAATAAAATTTAATAAATAAAATAAAATAAACATAATTGTATTAAATAAAAATATTTAAAAAAATTTAAATAAATAAATAAAATAAAATAATAATAAAATAAAACATTCGATAAATAAAAAAATAAAGACAAAAAATAAAACAACATAAATAAAAAATAAAAATAAATATTATAAAATAAAATAAAATAATAATAAAATTGAAAAAGATTTAATTAAATATGAAATGTAATTAAATACAAAAATAAAAGACAAAAATAAAATAAATAAATAAAATAAAAAATGTAATTAAATTAAAAATGAAATGACAAAAAATAAATAAAACAAATAATTATAAAATACTTATATTTTTAAATAAAATAAAATTTAATTAAATAAAAAGTAAAATAAAAGACATAAATTAAAATAATAATAAAAAATAAATAAAATAAAAAAATATATAAAAAATGAAATAAAAGACACAAAATAAAATAAAATAATAATAAAATAAATTAAATGAAAAAATTATTTAAATATAAATTAAACAAAAAATTTAATTAAATTAAATACGAATAAATAATGTAAATAATGTTTTATAACAAAATAAAAATGTACCAATTAAATTATATATAAAATTAAAGTAAATACAAAAAAATAAAAATAAAATAAAAACAAATAAATAAAATAACAATAAAAATTTATAAAATAAAAAAATGTAATTAAAGATAAAAAATAAAATGAATTAAAAAATAATATAAAATAATTTTTTTACAAATTTAATTAAATTAAACGTTCAATTAAATACAAAAATAAAAATTAAAAAATAAAATAAATAAAATTTTAAAAAATATAAAATTTTTAAATTAAAACTGAAACAAGGCAAAATTAATAAATAAATAAAATGATAAAAATAATTTATATATATATATATATATATATATATATATATATATATATATAAGATTTAATTAAATAAAAGACAAAAAATATAAAAAATGGAATCAAATAAAATTAGCTATACATTTACAAATTTTGATTTCTTTACCCTCAAAAACTACAGAAAGAGTTGTAATTGTTTGTGTATTTCAACTCTGCTTTCAGAATAAACATGATTCATTACAGATAAGCAGTGCTGAAAATAGTCTACGGCGAAACCTGTCGTGCAGCTGATATTTTTATACATTAAGGTTTATGATCACTTAGCCAAAACACACATGTAGTGACCTAATTTAAATATAGATTAGGATAAAATTAAATAAAATAATATTTATTTTAACATTAACTACATAAAATAAATAAATATATATTTTATTTAATAAGTAATGTAAATAAACAAATAAATAAAAAACAAAATACAACAAAAAGTACAATACAACAAAATACAAATAAAACAAAATACATTAAAATAAAATCACGAAACAAAATACATTAATTATTAATGAATTAATAAAGAAATAATGATATTGTTAATAAAAAATATATTTAGACAATCTTATGTTTCTCACACGCATGTTCATATAAAGAGCATCCATAAAGACTTATGAGCAAAACCTTCTAAAAATACCTCCTAAATTTAACCTTTATTGCTGAGATTCAAAACACTCACAGGGATCTGGTGCAGAGGAACATCCACTTGTCCAAGGAAGTCATCCCTTGTCTGTGGAGAATAAAACAATAAATAAATACAATAAAATAACTATCGGATTTTCTGTCAGCACATTCGAAATAAACAACGTGTGTGTGTTTAACTGAGATTGTCTGATAAGTGACTGACAGCATCTTGATGTATCTGCCAACTCCAGATCTCTAAACCTGACAAGGTTATTGCTAGATCAGGTTACGGCCGGGATTTAGCGAGAAATATTTATACTATTTATTCAATTACCCAAAAAGTTGTATTTTATTAAAGACTACCCCTACCTCAACACTAAAACCATAGCACAAACATACAAGGAACAACCCAGAATGTACAAGCATCCGCCAAACTCTTGAGAGAGCGAGAGAGAAGAGCTTGATGTTGATTCAGATGACTCTTCTCGAGTCTGATTCACAATTCAATTTGATTCGATTCAATCATAGGTGGCTGATTTGATTCAATGAATACAGATTTAGGGGCGGCATGGTGGCTCGGTGGTTAGCTCTATGAACGATGCCGGTGCGAGTCCCGGCTGGGCCATTTGTCGTTTCTTTGAGGAGTTTGCATGTTCTCCCCGTGTTGGCGTGGGTTTCCTCCTCCCCACAGTTCAAACACACGCGCAATAGGTGAATTGGATAAACTAAATTAACCGTAGTGTTAGTGTGTGAATGAGTGTGTGTGTTTACTGTATCAAGCCTCTTCAGCTGCTTCAGAACGCAGCAGCACGAGTGGTCTTTAATGAACCTAAAAGAGCACATGTCACTTCGCTGCTCATCCGTTTGCACTGGCTGCCAGTTGCTGCTCGCATCAAATTCAAAGCTCTGATGTTTGCCTACAAAGCGACTTCTGGCTTTGCTTCTTCTTATCTGCTCTCACTTCTGCAGATGTATGTGCCCTCCAGAAACTTGCGTTCTGTGAATGAACGTCGCCTCGTGGTTCCATCCCAAAGAGGGAAAAAATCACTTTCCCGAACTCTCGCATTCAATCTGCCCAGTTGGTGGAATGAACTCCCGAACTGCATCAGAACTCGCTGTCTTCAAAAAATGCCTTAAAACTCAACTATTTAGTCTCCACTTTCCTTCCTAATCTGCAATTGCCTCTCTGGCTCCAATGCTAACTGTATTACAAAAAAAATTACCAATGCTTTGCTTCTGATGCTGCGTTCATACCAGACGCGGCACGTGCGTCAAGCGCGAGTGATTTACATGTTAAGTCAATGCAAACGCGCGAATAGACATCCTGCGGCACGATATGCGTGAATGGTGCTGCGCGGCGCGAATGACGAGAATTGCGCGGTGCGCATGTTGCGAATGGCGTGGCGTGAATTGAGCGTTTTGCGCGTTTGATGTGCTTAATGCGCGTTTCGCATGAATCACTTGGGTTCGAAAATCTGAACTTTAGCGGACATTCGTGCCGTGTTAACCAATTAGGAGCTTGATCTTGTGGGGGCGTGATTGTGACGTATCGCCTGTTGTCGGTGTCCCAGGGGAAATCCCCCAGCAGACACCGACAAGAAGTTCATCAAACTGGGCTGGGCTCAGTCAGAAGCACCACTGAAAAGATCAACGCTTTTTATCATCCTTTATAAAGCACGTAAACACTGTTATTTTCTACATAAAATCCATGTTAGCCACTTAGCTATGAAGCTAGAGTCACGGGGCAGACAGAAGCCCTGCCCATCACGCGAATCCGCATCTGTTCTGAAGTGAATTTGACACACGAATGAAGCAGGGTTTAACGTGCGAATGAAGCGGGGTTTGATGCGCGAATGAAGCGAGTAACCTCAAATGTTCACGCGACTATTTACGCGCGAATAGCGTGATTAATCTCCGCGTTCCGCGTCTGGTGTGAACACAGCATTACCCTTTACACACCTAAAACTCGCCTACAGCACTTACTCGTTGTTGCTCTTATAGTTGTGTCAATTGCTTCCTTGTACTCACTTGTAAGTTGCTTTAGATAAAAGCATCTGCTAAATGACTAAATGTAAATGTGTTTCCCAGTGCTGGGTTGCAGCTGGAAGAACATCCTCTGTGTAAAACATGTCTTTTGAAGATGCCCACGAAGAGTAGTCAGAATAGGAAAAAAGATGGATTCACAGTGCTTGATAATCGATATTCATCCTAGAAACACTGTTGCATCTCCAAAAAGCATGCACATGTATTTTTATGCCTCACAACTCTGAACATTCCCTCTATTTTCAACCATTAAAGCAGAAGTCGATGTGAAAGTTTGTGTTCTGTGCGTCTCAGGCAGTCAGCAAAACCCTGAACCAACTCTCCTGTGTCTTTTTTGCAGTTGAAGAAAGCAAACACAGAGAAATACAACGTCAAAATACAAGATATCTTGGGGAGTTTATATCATTCAAGCGCACAAAACTCAACACAGTATTTGCAGCAAACCCACACACAGTCACAACTAGTGATGAACACGTCATCTCACCATTATTCCTTAATTCATTTATATTCTTTTCGGCTTAGTTCCTTTATTAATCAGGGGTCGCCACAGCGAAATGAACCGCCAACTTATCCAGCATAGAGGTAGCCCTTCCATCTACAACCCGGGAAACACCCATATACATTCATTGACACTCATAAACAATGGTCAATTTAGTTCATCAATTCCCCTATAGCGCATGTGGAAACCAACGCCAACACCGGGAGAACATGCAAACTCCACACACACTGTAAAACCCAACAGTCAACTATGAAATGAGTGTAGTTAACTCTAAATTGACTGAATGTTAATTCTACTCATTTGAAAAGAGTTTTGTACTTAGTGTTGAAGGTAATGTGTTAATTAAATACGTCATTACTTCAACTTAAATAAAGTAAGTTCACAGTACTCATTAGGATTAGTTTTTTTTACTTAAATGGTTTGTTGCAATTGGTCTCCTCAAACAGTTTGAGTTCCCTTAACTTATTGGTCTTTACAGTTCAGAAATCCCACCTTGCCCAGCCGGGACTTGAACTAGTGACCTTCTTGCTGTGAGTGCGAACCACTAAGCCAGTGAAGGGCTGCACAATATATCCCAAAATTATTGTTATCATGATATTATTTCATGGAATATACATAAGCATATACATGACTAAATTTGACCAGTCAGATAGTAAAGTTGGCGGTTCATTCCGCTGTGGCGACCCCAGATTAATAAAGGGACTAAGCTGAAAAGAAAATTAATGAATGAGATGGTAAAGTCTCGAAGGGATACGCTTGATTGTTATCGTAATACTCAACAACAATATTGCATATTTTCCCAGTATCATGCAGCCCTGACACACACACACACACACACACACACACACACACACACACACACACACACACACACACATACATACATACACACACAAACATAAACACACATTTTCTTAACCCCCCCCCACCCTCCCCCCCACCCCAAGACCAAGAACATCAGTACTGTGGTTTCATTTCTCTTTCTCCACACATATTATTTGTTTCTTCTCCATATTTCCACTTTACAACTTCTCCATATAAATCCACCCAGCTCTGATTTAGTGTCATCATGGAATTGAATTGGACCACTGACCTTCTCTGAGATCTTACAGCACGTCTATTGTTTACAGAGATATAAATACATGTGTTTTATATATAAACAAGGCTTTATGAAAGAAGACTTCCCCACGGTCGAACCCTCAGACTTTGAGTGAGCTGCAAAATTTAGACTGAAGGTAAAAGTAGGCTGAGAGAGGGAGAAAACAAAGGCATGAGAAAGAAGGAGAGCGAGAGAGAGTTTGTTTTCAGAAACAAAATCATTCCCATCCTCAAACTTTTTCCAGCAGCTGCAATTCATTTTAACGTCTGCCTTTCATATTTAACTAACAACCATTTGAAATATACAGTTAAAGTCAGAATTATTAGCCCCCTTTTGATTTTTTTTTTTTTAATATTTCCCAAATGATGTTTAACAGAGCAAGGGAATTTTCACAGTATGTCTGATAATATTTTTTTTCTTCTGGAGAAAGTCTTATTTGTTTTATTTCAGCTAGAATGAAAGCATTTCAATTTTTTAAAACCCATTTTTGGGACAAAATTATTAGCCCCTTTAAGCTATATATTTTTTTCGATAATCTTCAGAACAAACCATCATTATAAAATAACTTGCCTAATTACCCTAACCTGCCTAGTTCACCTTATTAACCTAGTTGAGCCTTTAAATGCCACTTTAAGCTGTATAGAAGTGTCTAGAAAAATATCAAGTAAAATATTATTTACTGTCATCATGGCAAAGAGAAAATAAATCAGCTATTAGAAACACGTTTTTAAAACTATTATGCTTAGAAATGTGCTGAAACAATCTTCGCTCTGTTAAACAGAAATTGGGGAAAAGATAAACAGGGGCGCTAATAATTCAGGGGGGCTAATAATTCTGACTTCAACTATATATATCAAAAGCATGCTTTAAATAGAGTTAAAGACACAATTATTTATTATATTTACTATCATTCTAAATGTTAGGGTGTTTTTCCAACACACTTTAAACATAATAGTTTAATAATTCATTTCTAATAACTGATTTATTTTATCTTTGCCATGATGACAGCACATAATATTTAAACCCAGATTCTGAAAATGTACCTCTATATACATTTCTAGAGAGCGCCAAATATTTCCCAGGAGCTACGTTTTTTTTGCAGTCTTTCTTTTTGTGAATCCACCAGAGGCCGCTGTGTATGCTTTTTCAGATCTCAGATTTCTCTCGCAAGTGCCATATGCGCCTGCTGTTCTAACGTAAATCCAGCAGAGGCCACTGTTGACTGACTGATTGACCGACTGACCCACCCTAGTCCTTCCCTAAACCCAACCAATAGTGTTTTCTAAAGCACCAATTGATCCGATCACCCCCTTCCCTAAACCTGACCAACAGTGTCTTTCAAAAGCACCCGCCCACCTCTTCCCTTAACCCAACCGATAGTGTTTTCAAAGGCACCGATTAAAATTTTTTCCAAAGCAATGCATTTTCAAAAGCAATGCAAAAAAAGAAAAGCCCTCGTCTGGTT